TATATCTTTCTGAAAATGACACCTCACAGAACTGCAAGAGCAAAATTGAAAAGAATCAAAATAAAATGAATGTTAGGGCCGGCTCCGTGGCTTGGCGGTTAAGTGCGCGCGCTCTGATGCTGGCGGCCTGGGTTCTGATCCCGGGAGCGCCCCGAGGCACCACTTCTCCGTCCAACGTGAGGCCGAGTCCCACATACAGCAACTAAAAGGATGTGAACCTATGACATACAACTGTCTGCTGGGGCTTTGGGGGGAAAAAAAACTGAATAAATAAAATCTTAAAAAAAATAAATAAATAAAAAAATAAAATGAATGTTTACATTAAGAGTAATTTCAGTTTTCTTCCTTGTACTTTTCTGTGTTCTAAATTTTCTGCAATGGAAATATATTATTTTGTAATCAGGAAAAAAGTCAATACTATTTTTAAAGAATGTAATGGATGAGATCATTTGCAAATGTACGGCTGAGGAAATTTTGAGGACACTCAAGTCTAATCAAGGTTATTTGGAGTTAATACCAGACAGAAAAACTCTGGAATGTGAAAATAACTTAAAGAGCTGAAACTTAATCAGTCTGCCTAAAAAAAAAATAATAAAAAGCTTCTCAGAGGGGAGATGGATGGCACCGACCCTACTAGGAAAAAAAGGGCACTGAAGAACAAGAATTTACTGTGTTTGTTTAGCACCATCCTTGGAAGTTTGACACCCCTGCTGTGGACTGAATTGTGTCCCCGCAAATTCAAATGTTGAAGCCCTAACCCCCAATGTGATGGTATTTGGAAGGGTGGGGCCTTTGGGAGGCAATTAGGTTTAGATGAGGTCCTGAAGGGGGGGCTTTCATGATGGGATTAGTGCCCTTACAAGAAGTGACACCAGAGAGCTTGCATGTTCTCCCCTAGTCCCCTCTCTTTCCCCACCATGTGAGGACACAGCAAGAAGGAGGCTGTTGGGAAGCCAGGAAGAGAGCCCTCATCAGAGCCTGACCATGCTGGCACCCTCACGTTGGACTTCCACCCTCCAGAACTGTGAGAAAATAAATGTCTGTTGTTCAAGCCACTCAGTCTGTGGTAGTAGCCCATGCAGACTATGACAGACTAAGCAGTCTGAGATCTGAGCTCTTACGTGGCAGGTGGTTTTCCTATACTGGAAGAGGATCTCCGCACTGATTCAGTCAATAAACATTTGTTAAATGCCTACTGTGTTCCATGCCCTGTGCAAAGTGCTGAGGATTCAAAGGTGACCAAGACAAGGCTCCCACCTCTAAGGGACTGATTTAATAGGAGACAAACATGTAAACAAACTGAAAAAAGGGTTATAAGTGCTCTGATGGAAGTACATACAGGGCACATACACCTTTCTTTCCGGCACCCAGAGGTTAGAGTAATTGTTTCTATCTGTGGTTGGGGTGGGGTAAGTCTGGTTGGTCCAAGTCAACACTCTGTATCCAAAGTTATCTCTGAGTTCACCAAATAAGTGAAGAGCTGTGACTCACGATGTGGTGACAAACCCGAGACTTCACACAGTGAGCCCTGCAGAGGCCAATACTGACAGAGAGTCACTGAGATTCAGATGGTGGCTGTCTACCGAGGAGAGGGAGGAGAGAACTTGCTGCGTGCTTGGCAAAATGGAATGGGCTATTGGCAGGGGCTTCCTGGGCTCTTCAACTATTTCTACATGCTGAATTTCCGTTTCTAATTCTTCTTTGGGACCTTCAATATTTATAATCACATTCTCATTTACTTATAGTAACCGTATTTTGTATGTTAATAAGTATTCACAGCCTGGTACTTAGAGAAAAACTACCGGTGAGCACGGAGACCAGCACTCACTGTGCAGCCTTCGGCCTCATGTGCCCTGTGCCGTCTAAGTCCTAATCATCCCCCATGTCCCAGCCGAGGTCCTGCTCTCTCTGGAAGCTGTGCCTAAACTGCACCCCACCCCCGATTAGTGGGGGGCTCCTGCTATGAGTTCCCTAGCACTCCTGTACTTCCTGCATCATAGCACTTATCACACCGCTTTTCAAGCTCTTGTTTAATTGTCTATCTCTCTATCAGACTGCCAAATCCTTAAGGATAGGAACAATATTAGTCTTAATAATGTGCCTGGGTCACCAAAGGCTTTCAGTAAGTATTTGTCGAATGAATCTAGTTTCAGAGCCTGTGAAAGTAGAGGAACAGATGAGCATTAAGTTTACGGTGCTACCACCAAGGTGCACCTAACCAATGAAGTTCAGTTTGAAAGATCCATCTGAACTTTGATATAAATTAATCCAGTCCAAATTGTGAACATAAACACTAAGGGAATACAGTACCACAGAGTAATCAGAGTCAGGCTGCCATAAAATGAAGCCTGTTAAGGCTTCATATTATGTTAGCTTAATAAAAATTAAGCTAGTTTTGAACAGAGGTGAAAGTCACGGTGGAAGGGGCTAGAATGGTACTCTAATGACAGGAGAGGAGTGGACAGGCTTTATGCAGATCAGCTTCGTGGGATCAGAATATTCTAATCCATTCATTTAATACATATTTAATATCTACTTCAAGATTAGATTGAACTCTGAATTCTAGGTTAAAGAGTTTAGATGGGAAGTGACAAATAAGTAATAAATGCTTCAGGTATACAACATGATAAGGGCTGTAAACTGTATTTGAACATGACTATTCTAGCAACTAGGCAGCAGTTGACCTAGAGTAAACAGAAACTCATGGGTGATACACAAAAGCAGAGACGGTCTGTTGAATAAGTGGGATAAAGCGTGACCTATGCAGATAAGCCTCTCTTCTAATATATTCTCTGCTGGCATGTCACAATGTCTGAAACTCCTGCCACAGAAGTCAGTCTTTTGGTTAAAGGCACTATCTTTAGAAAGCCCTGTTAATATGCTATAAGTGACGGTAATGTTACCGCACAAAGAGCACGATCTGCTCACCGAGAGACAAAAGCCACTCATCAAGAGGAAAGATGGTGGCAGAGAAAGGGCAGTTTATTACAGCTTGCTAGCAAGGGGGAAGATGGCCAACTAACGTCTGAAAGAATTGTCTTACAGAACAAAGACTACAGGCCAGTTATATAGGGGGCTGGTCTCCGGGTGGGAGAGGCATCTGGTCTCAGGGTGGGGGCATCCATCTGATCTCCGGGTGGAGGCAGACATCTACTCTCTGGGTGGGGGCATCTATTTGACCTCCAGATGGGAGCAGATATCTTGTCTTAGTTCCCGACAGTCTTTTGTTTTACTGGATATGCATCAGAGACCAGAGCAACGCCCTATACCCTGATCTTTCAGTTGTCATTGATGATGGCTATCAGCATAGACTTTCTGCCCGGGGGTCATCACATTCCTAAAGAACTCAAGAGAACAAAGTTATCAATTTATAACAGCTAGGAGGGGCCATAAAATCCACAGAGCATGTCTGGGTTAATTAATCAGAGGTTGTTCAAAGTTACAATAGGGTTTCTTTTCTACAATATGGCTTCCCTTATGTCAACCTTGTGTTGAGCCGGTATCAGTAACACCCAGCTCAATGGTACCTCTGACTCCCAAATCTAATTTTTCTGTCCTCCTAGGAATATGACTAATGCATATTGAGAGACAAGACTTCTCAGCCTCCTCACAGCTGGGTGCGGTCATCACCAATAGAATGTGAGAGACATTCGGACATGTCCAACTTCCTCGTCACTTCCTTGAAAATAAATTGCTTGCCTTCTTTTTTCCTTCTTCCTGAAGGCTAGAAAGGAGACATGGGATAGATCCATCTTTAACCTGTGTACTAAGCTAGGGAATGGCGGAGCCTCAAGACAGAAGGACACGGGTCTCTGAGTAGACCTCATCAGCAGAGTAACCCCGTCAGCATCAACCAGACAGCCAGTTTCATGAGAGGGAAATAAATTTCTATTTTCTTTTAAGTACCCTATTTTTTCGTTTCTTCATTATAGCAGCTTAACTTACCTGGATTAATATGATATTCGTGAGAGTGGTATAGATTTGAAAATTGGCCCTATCTCACCTAGAGAACAGGAAGAGCCTGAAGATGTGGGTCACAAGAAACAACCAAGAAAGGGCTGGACCAGGGCACTCCTTAGCGGGAGGCAAACTCAGAGGGGCCACTGAAATGGGGGACTCTGTGGAGCCAGCTAGGAGACAGGATAAGGGCTTTTGTCATTCAGATAGGTGCAAGAGGAAGATCCAAGAGAGATACTCTATGTACTTAAAAATTCTGGTGGGACCAATCAGTTACAATAATTCACAGAAAGGTAGTAAGAGGGGTAGAAATGGAGAAGAGGCAGATTAGTAGGGAAAATGAGGGTAAAAACTGGTAAGAGATTACGTTATGGTATTTAAAAACAAAAAAGAAAAGAGGAGCCAAAAACAATTCAAGGCCTGAGAGGCTACACCTAGCCTCCACACATCATAAAACTGTGACAGTAACAGTAACTTAGAGTGAGCTGTTGGCTACCAGAACAGGACACCAAACTTGGTCTTTCCCATGTTAATTTAAGTTGTGGTAGTACATTAAAGTGTATGTGGTCCCCATACAGATTAAGATATATGATGGAGTATTTGGAGAGAAAAAAAAGATAGATAGAAATGGAAAGGGCGGGCCGGCCCCGTGGCTTAGTGGTTAAGTGCACGCGCTCCACTGCTGGCAGCCCGGGGTTCGGATCCCAGGCGTGCACTGACACACCGCTTCTCCGGCCATGCTGAGGCCGCGTCCCACATACAGCAACTAGAAGGATGTGCAGCTATGACATACAACTATCTACTGGGGCTTTGGGGAAAAAAAAATAAATAAATAAAATTAAAAAAAAAAAAGAAATGGAAAGGGTAATGGCTAAAAATGCTGTTTAAAGAAATAGCCACACTTTTGGTTCTGTTGCATTTTAAGCTTAAATGTTAAATATTTCAATATCCATCTTAATAAAAGTAGCCTCTGGTAGTAGCTTTCTAATCATTATATTCAGCATTCTCTCTTTTCACGTCTAAACTTGTTCAGAAGTCTCTCCTTGAACTTCTTCATCATTCTTTTGATGTTCAGCTTTCTGGAGAAGCCTGGGACCCAGCCAACCAATGAGGAGACTTCCAACTGGGGCTGTGATGAGGATGGACAAAAATGCCACTGTCAACACATCCATTCCGTATTCTTCTAACTGTTTCTCTCCATGTGACCTCCCTGTGTCCAAAGCCACAGATCCTATTGCAGCCTATGAAAGTTTAATGGTAAAGTTGGACACATGATAAGACAAGCACATAGAAAAAAGGTGAATTATTTTATCATTTGCAAAAACAAATTGCTTGTTTTTTTTGCTTAACTAATACATTTCTTTCTTTCAAAGTATACTGCAGTTGGTTTTGATATTCTGAAAATTCTCCTGCCCTTGCATGGGGAAGGAATGGTGATTCATATGTAACTAGTTGCAGAAGGCAGTGTTACAAAAATATCAGGCAAATATATTTCAAAACAGAAAGCAAATACAGCCTCATGATATATTTAACTATAACATGATTCTGCATACTAAATTCCTCATGAGTAAAAGAAAGTTATTGGTCATCTCATTCTTTTATCTTTAGGAATTTGGAATTAAGAAAGAACAAGATGAAAAAATGTAGGGGCTGGCTGGGTGGTGCAGCAGTTTAAGTGTGGGCACTTTGCTGCGGCAGCCCAGGGTTCGCAGGTTTGGATCCCGGGTGCGCACCGACGCACCACTTGTCAAGCCATGCTGTGGTGGCGTCCCATATAAAGTAGAGGAAGATGGGCACGGATGTTAGCCCAGGGCCAATCTTCCTCAGCAAAAAAGAGGAGGATTGGCAGCGGATGTTAGCTCAGGGCTAGTCCTCCTCACTCACACACACACACACACACACACACACACACAAGCATAAGAATAGGTATTGCTTTAAAGCCTAAACTAACTGTTAAACATCAAGAAACTTGAAAGTGGTAGGCACCTTCAAAACTTAAAGTTGACTTATTAGGTATTTGGTCAACTCTTTGCGTTAGGTCTTGGTGAAATGTTTTATTTAAAATTTATCTACTGGGAAGTATTATGAAAACTTGCATTTTCCTTTAAAGGCAAAATGCAATATTCTCAGTGCAGATGGGAAAATAATATATTAATCAATCTGGTTATTCCTTTATTCCACAGAACACAGCAATGTTGGCCTCTAGGACAATGAAACAGAAGAGAGAATGTCAGTGTGGATGAGACACAATGGCAGAGACTACTAATTGCCCACAAATATCTGAATGCCCCTTTTCCCTTCTATACTTAGAACTCCTGAGTTTTAGCTGGTCACATTGCTGTCCAAACAGAGACTTTTTTTAGCCTTCTTTGCAACTAGATGAAGCTACGTATCTAAGTTCTGGCCACTGAGAGGTGAGTGGAAGTGATAAATGATAGTTGTAGACTGTTCCCTCAAGAGAAATAGACATTTATATGTCATTCTTTTTCTCCTTCCCCCTGAATGAGAAATGGTGAAAGTTGGACTCATGGATGGAAGGCAAATGCTGAGGATAGCGTCACCCTACCAACTCTGGAATGCCCACGCTGGACTGTTGGTGGGAGAGAAATAAATATCTATCTCCTTTAGTCCCTGTATTCGAGGGCTGCTTGTTATTGCAGGTTACCTTGTAGCATAAGTAATTCAACATTTCATGATTTCTTGGCAAGAACTGCACACATTACAATGTATATTTCTCTTTCAGTTCTCTGTTGTGTGCGTAATGTGTGTGTGTGTATGTTTTGGGGTTTGTATGTATACTGAGTTGTGATTTAAAATATATTTCTTATAGTAGGTCATGGACAAAAAAATTTGAAGAAAACTAATATGGAAAAATATATATAATAAAGTCTTGTTTTGGGCTTGCCTGGTGGTGTAGTGGTTAAGGTTGTGTGCTCTGCTTTGGCGGCCCAGGGTTTGCAGGTTTGTATCCTTGGCAAAGACCTATGCACCGCTCATCAAGCCATGCTGTGGCAGGTGTCGCATATACAAAATAGAGGAAGACTGGCACAGATATTAGCTCAGGGACAATCTTCATCACCAAAGGAAAAAAAAAAAGAAGTAAAATAAAAAATAAAGTCTTGTTTCTTATACAGTGGCAAAAGAAAAAAGAAAATTCTATACAATACTTGCTTCACAGAACATACATTATTCAACACATCCTAGACAATTTCTCCTTATTTTAAATTTGCTTTGATAGCAGGAAAGTGCCATCTTTCAAATTTTAACCTTTAGAAACAAATCTTTCATACCAAAACTATTAGAATAATTATTTTGATATTTACCTAGTAAAGTTACCAGAGGTAGTGTAGAAGCTAGAGACACTGTGAGGGCGAAACTAGCCCACTTATTGCACCATGTTAACCTCACAGTATTCTTAGCCATTATGTCCCAGACATCTCTCAAAGTCTGATGGAAAACAAAACTTCTCTGGGATAATGCCCAAGCCCCTAGCCACACCAAATCTGGCATATAGTTACAGAGCATACACATCCCTCAAAGCCTCCTAAATTAAAAACATCTGATTTTCATTTCATGAACTAGAAATTCACATATTTAAATAATTGCAAAATAATCAAGGATGGAACAGTTAAATCTCATTTGCTATAATTAGCCTGAAAATATACAACACGATCGGGGTATTTACAATAAATGATAATCTATCCAGTTCTAACTGAATTAACAATTACAGGTGCTCTACGGAATACCTGGTTGGTAACTCCAAGCACCCATGAGTGCCTTGTCCATTGGTGCACAGATTTAGGTCATGTGATTGAGAGACATGTGAGTAAAATTTAATATTAACTACTAATCTAGGAAATCAATAAAGCATTTTCTGAGTTGTTTTTCAATAAATCTTTCTCCGTTATATATAAAGACTGTGGTCAAGCATAACTGATCATCAATCATATTGACACTGAAGTATTTCCAAATACTAAGATTGGCCATGCTATGTCTGTTTCACTCTCTTCTTAGAAGACATCAAAATGAAAAGAGTTAATAACTCTCTCTGGGTCATTTAGAGAGCTGTGACTAATAGAAATTCAAACTCTTCCCTCCTGCTACTACTGCTTTCTAGTAGTGTAGGGATTTATTGGATTTTTAGTTGTACCCTGGTGATCTAAAGAAATTTAAATGAGCCATCATATTTAAGGAATCACTATATTCAAAATAAAACTTTTAAAGAGTAGATTAGTATAAATTCTTTTCATAAATCAAACTTCAATTACTTATATTCACCAAATTTGAACAAGCCCTCTTATTCCAAATTTTAAGGGATCATATTGAAATAGGAATTAAGATCCATCATTACCTGGACTGTGGCTTTTGGAAGCCATGCAAAAGAAATAAATATCTTTTCCTTTACGTTAAAACCAGCAAAACACACCATCAGAAATGTAGCCAAAATTTGTATCAATACTGCAATGCCCAGGGTGGCAACACAAAGGCCTGTAAGAAATACTCAATTTTAAGACATAATGGTGGGCCGGCTCCGTGGCTTAGCAGTTAAGCGCACGCGCTCCGCTGCCGGTGGCCTGGGTTCGGATCCCGGGTGCGCACCGACGCACTGCTTCTCTGGCCTGGCCGCGTCCCACATACAGCAACTAGAAGGATGTGCAGCTATGACATACAACTATCTACTGGGGCTTTGGGGGGAAAAAGAAAAAAAAAAAAAGACATAATGGAATACTGGGGAAGAAATGGAATCTCATGATTATTGATTCAAAATTCTATCAACAGAAATAATCTAAAAAAATTAAAAAGACAAAAATGATTACGCATAATTTATCAAAACATCAACATTAAGGATCAATCAGACCATTCGTTTAAACGAAAGTATTTGCCCTAGATTAAAATCAGAAATTAATTAAACATATTTGAATTTCTATAAAGGAAATTTGAATGTTATTTCTCTTATGCTTTATAGTAAGAACCACATTTTCTTCCATGTGTTCATTTAACAAGAATTTATTAAATGATAACTATGCATAACAGGATTTGGACTAGGTACTGGTATACAAAAATGTATAAGGTACAGACTTTACGTCCATGAACTTCAAAGTCAGAGGAAAACAGAAACATAAATAACTAATTAATATACTATAAGGTAAATGCAGTATAAACATACTACTAAGAGGGCATGGAAGAGGAAAAAATTAATATTTTCATCAAAGTGGTTGAGAATTCTTTGCAGAGCATAAGACCAGAGGTGATAAAGTATTTATCAGCCAGTTTGGAGGCAATCAGGCAATCAGAACAGAGCTGGCTGGGCACTGACCAAGCAGAACAAACACTGGCAGTCTACTCTGCTCACCATGCTGGTGTGCACACTGACTGCCCACTGGCCCCGGCCGACACGTGCAGCTACCGCATCCAGCCCTGCAGAATCCTTCGCTGATAAACATAAGTTCATTCTGATTTGCAAAATAAGAGAGTGTGACTAGGGCAATGCAGGCTACTGGACCTGAGAGTTACTTAAGGTGACTGCTAGGCAATAGGGTGATTTTTGAAAAAGTAACATTTGTTGAGTGCTTACTCTGTGCCAGGTTCTGTATTAAGCTTTAAATGCATTACTTTACTTAATCCTTATAACCCTGGGGTAATTATTCTCACTTTACAGTTGATAAAAAATGAAGTTCAGAAAGGGTAAATAACTTTCTCAAGTTCAAAAGGCTGGTTAAACACCAGACAGACATTGCTGGAGGCTCTATTGTGAATCTGCAATACAGTTTCTTTATGGAAAAGTTCTGTGGCTCTTTGTTGGAGGGTATTTCTCCCAGATTGGTAGATTTTCAAAAGTATTTGTTGCCTTGAAGTACAAGATACAAAAGAGATGATACCATTCCCAGGAGGGAACATTGAAGGTTCGGGGAGAAGATGATGAGGAAGTTTTTTTTTTTTTTAATAATTTTATTTATTTATTTTTTTCCCCCCAAAGCCCCAGTAGATAGTTGTATGTCATAGCTGCACATCCTTCTAGTTGCTGTATGTGGGACGCGGCCTCACCATGGCGGGACAAGCGGTGCGTCGGTGCGTGCCCGGGATCCGAACCCGGGCAGCCAGCAGCAGAGCGCGCACACTTAACCACTAAGCCATGGGGCCGGCCCTGATGAGGAAGTTTTAGACACTGAGTCTGAAGTTTTGTGGGATTTACAAGTGGTGATGTCCAATCAGCGATTGGATATACTGATTTAGAGATACAGATTTTGGAATTACATAGTTTATATTCGAAGCCACTGAGTGCAGAAGAGCTCAGGGAAATGGTACAGAGTGTGAAGCATACAAGGCTTTTGAAAGAACTTGAGGAAGAGCAGCGTTTAAGCCCTGTATAGTGTGAAGGAGGACTCAACGGGCACCGGAAAACGTGAGGTTCCAGAATTCAATGTAAAAAGTGTTTTAAAGAGGTCAATAGTATCAAATGCTGCTGAGATATCAAGTAAAATAAAGAGCCATAAGTATTAAGTGTATTTAGCAATATAACCTTGGTGAGAGCAGGGTTGGTTGTGTGATTGGCAGAAGCTGGACTGAAATGTACTGAGGAAGGGAATGAGAGCTGAAATGGAAAAGGGGGACACAGTTACCTCTTCAGAAAGGTTTGAAAAAAGGAAGAGAGTGATAGAGTGGTAGGTGAGGGGGGAATTGAAATCGAGAAAGTGTATGTATTTGTGTATATGTATATATATATGTGTATGTATATTTATTTAAATTTTGATTGTGGTAAAATACACATAAAATTTACCATCTTAATTTTTAAGTGTACAGTTCAGCAGCATTAAGTTAAACATTCACATTTTTTTGCAACCATCTCAGGAACATTTTCATCTTGCAAAACTGAAACTCTAAACCCATTAAACAGCAAGTCCCCATTTCCCCTGCCCAAACCCCTAGCAACCACCATTTTCCTCTCTGTCTTTATGAATTTGACTACTCTGGATACCTCCTATGAGTCGAATCACACAGTATTTGTCTATTTGTAACCGGCTTAGTTTACCTAGTGTAATGTCCTCCAGGTTCCTCCTGTTGTCACATGTATCAGAATGGAAGGATATTATTTTAAGATAGGAGAGATTAAAGTCTGTTTAAACTCTGAAGAAGAGAAAACTGTGACAAGGATATCTGAAGATGTATGAGAAAAGGGGAGGAAATCTATGTGTGAGATCTAGAAGGAGGTGGCAGGGAATGGAATCCCTAATGTGGAGAGAAAACTACTGTGATGCGAGGAAAGAAGGAAATAATGAGTACAGATCTTCCTCGATGTATGATGGGGTTACATCCTGATAAACCAATCGCAAGGCAAAAATGTATTTAATACGCCTAACCTACCAAACATCCTAGCTTAGCCTAGCCTCCCTTCAACGTGCTCAGAACACTTATATTAGCCTACAGTTGGGCAAAATCATCTAACACAAAGCCTATTTGATCATCAAGTGTTAAATATGTCATGTAATTTCTTGAATATGTACTGAAAGTGAGAAACAGAATGGCTGTCTCGGTACAGAACGGTTGTAAGCCTCTTGGCCATTTACCCTCGTGATCTTGTGGTGACTGGGAGCCGTGGCTGCTGCTGCTGCCCGGCATTTCGAGAGAGGATCGCACCACGTATGCTAGCCTGGGAAAAGCTCAAAATTCAAAATTCGAAGTATGGTTTCTACTGAATGCGTATTGCTTTCATACTGCGGTAAAGTCGAAAAATCCTAAGTCAAACCATTGTCAGTTGGGGACCATCTGTTTATGTGTGCAAATTAATTTTTAAGTGCAGTACTACGAGTCAAGAGTTTTAATATGATGGTTTTCAAAGGTATGAATGAATAAATGAATGAACAAACATTTCTATTCCATGGATACATATTATAGAACTGACTAGTTATCTTTAAAATTCTGGCCCTTGATCAAGATAAGGCTAGATGAACATTTTTACCCTTGGAAAAAAATTTTAAGGCCTGCATTTTATTGATACTAGTTAGCAGTGTCATTTTCTTTACAAGGAACAATATTAAAGGCCCCAAATTCAGTGTCTTAGATTGACAAACATTCTTTTCCAACCAACTACTTAAAAGGCTTAGATCATTATTAACTTTTTATATAATTGTGGCAATGGGAGCCACTGAATATAAACCTATTAAAGATATTTCAACTGAATATAAAAAGAGTTGATTTCAGCAAAAGTACTACTTTGAAATTCTTACCTACAGTTTCTGGTCTGAGAGATACAATAGATACCTCTGCTCCAATCAGTCCAAAGAGAAGGGGCTGGAAGGCGCCCCAGGCACTGCAATAATTTTTTCAACCTCTGCCTAAAAGAAACACACATACACACAAATGGATTTTAATTATGTGAAGTTAGAAGTTCTAAGAATTTTAGTAATTTTAAATTTGAGTGAATTTGACCTGAGATAGGCTTTATCTCTGTGGCATCTATAAATAAGAAGTTAGCTAGAATACAGGAAAAAATTGCATAAAGATATTTCTAATGCAGTTAAGGTATTATACGAGGTGCTTTGGTGTCGGTTTGCAAAGGGATGTTAATTATAGAGTCTTATAATCTCAGGACGACTTCTATTTCTGAATACATGATGTGCATGTGTGTACATATTATAATACTTAGTATTATTTCACAGTTTAAAACTTTATGTTTATCAGCTGACTTCTCTGCAGAAACCTTACAGGCTAGAAGAGAGTGGCACGATATAT